TCTTCTTCCTCTTCCTCTTCCTCCTGCCCATGTTCCTCCTCCTCCTCTTCTTCTTCTTCCTCTTCTTCCTCTTCCTCACCATTCTTCCTCCTCCTCCTTTTCACCTTCAGCTTCTTCTGCTGTTCTACTTCCTCCTCCTCCTCTTCTCTTTCTCCTCCTTCTCCTTCCCCTTCCCTTCCTCCTCTTCTTCTTCTTCTTCTTCTTCTTCTTCTTCTTCTTCTTCTTCTTCTTCTTCTTCTTCTTCCTCCTCCTCCTCCTCCTCCTCCTCCCACTTCCTCCTTCTCTCCTGCCCCTGTTCCCCCTCCTGCTCGTCTTCTTCCTCCTCCTCCTCCTCTTCTTCTTCCTCTTCCTCTTCCTCCTGCCCATGTTCCTCCTCCTCCTCTTCTTCTTCTTCCTCTTCTTCCTCTTCCTCACCATTCTTCCTCCTCCTCCTTTTCACCTTCAGCTTCTTCTGCTGTTCTACTTCCTCCTCCTCCTCTTCTCTTTCTCCTCCTTCTCCTTCCCCTTCCCTTCCTCCTTCTCCTGCTCTTCCTCTTCCTCTTTTATCCCTTGTCAAGGGATCTATATATGTCGATGCTTACATAACATGTTTAAAAATGCTAAACATCTCCCAAGGAAAAAGTGGTTTCAAATGCACATGGATGACACCTCTGTCAGCCTCGGCGGGATGGAAACCGACAAAGGCCATTCACACATGAACATAAATGTGGAATTTTCTCTCCCACCTGTATAATCATTTCAATTCCTTTCAGGTCTCTGTTAAATAAAATGTTTTCCTCCCAGCCTAGCTTATTGCTTGCTGATGATATGTTTATGTATAAATATAAGCAAAATAGAGCAACTATAAATCTATGCAAACAGCTCACCCATTTGGTTTGTTGCTAACAGCCTCAAGCAAGCCAGGATGAAAAGTGAATGATAGTCGTGCACATCAGAAGGGGAAAAAAAATTTAAAAAATATCCATGAAAGAACAAGTACTTTGTCTCTATTTAGTTTAGTTTAATTTACTTTATTGTCATTGCGCCTCCTACCACGAAATGAAATGCCACCTTCAAGATTGAAGCATTCTTAGCATGGTTCCAGCTACAAAAGATGAATGTCAGGGTAGTTATCCCCATTTAAATCATGAGTTTCTAGCTTGATTTTCAGAGCTTAAAGAAGATTTATTAGGAGAAGACATGCCGGTGCTGCCTGGGTGTAGCTGATTCATTGTCACCCTTGAACCTGGTTTTTCTCTCACCCCCTGGGTGTATCATAATTCATATTCTCCAATGGGACACATCCATAGCCCAGAATCATCAATCATGTTCTCCAGTTAGATCTTTGCACGGCAGAAACTTCAGTCACCTAGTTACTATCTTTGAAAACATTTATGGAATGCATTTTCAGTTTTGCAAGCTGCCACACTGCTCCCCCCTCCCTTTCTGTTGGCAACTCTAAAAAGACCATAAAATATTTTATTTTATGAGTTGACAATGAGAACTTGGCAATGACAAATCAGAACAGGTAGTCCTCGACTTACAACAGTTCACTTAGTGACCGTGTGATGACCCGGAGTGTAACACAAATGTAACAAAATCCAAAATGTAAATAAATGTTCTTTAATGCCTCCAACTTGGCCCCACTGTTCAATAATTCTCAGTTGGAGATAAAACGTATTCAAAAATAGTCTTCAAAAGAAAGCAATACAGTCCAAACTTAATGAGCAGATAGAGGTGAAATAAAAAAAACTAAAACAAACTACAATGAAGGAATTTCCACAACAGACCAGGATAAGTAATTACCAACTTCAAGGAGATAACAAGGCACGGTCTGTTGGAAGAATGCCAACCAAGATAACTTCAGCCCAAAATAACACATGCTTTGCTTCTGACAATGCTGTTTTGTAACCGTCTCTCTTATATACTATTCCCCCCAGCTGCAGCCAATGAAAGGGATCAGGGCCCTTTTCTCTCCCATTAGCCACGTTGTTCCCTTCTCCATTCCTTCCTGCGTGTCCTAGGATGAAGAGGGGATGGGCCTGGTCCTTCCTCTGACTGCTCAGCCGGCCTGTGCCCTTCCCCAGCCTCCTCCACAACCTCTGGAGCCACACTTCCACTCCCTTAGGACCATTTGGACTTAGGACCATTTTTCACACTTACTACCTTTGCCACCTCCCTATGGTCATGTGATGAAAATTCGGACCCTTGGCAACTGATTCATATTTATGATGGTTGCAGTGTCCCCCGGGGTTAACGTCATCCCCTTTTGCGACCTTCAGTGGGGGAGCCAGATTCATTTAACAACTGCATCACTAACTTAACAACTTCAGTGATTCCCTGAACAAACTTGGCCAGAAAAACCATAGAACAGAGCGAAATTCACTGAAACAAATTGCTCACTGAAGAACATAAATGTTGGACTCCATTGCGGTTGTAAGTACAGGTAGTCAAGTCACTGGGATACAGACAGTCCTCAACTTGTGACCGTTTTCTTAGTGACAGTTTGACGTTACTATGGACTTTCCCAAAGTGACTTTGTTACTTTCCAGAGTGATGCGGGCACAAGAGAGTAAAGTTTGACTTCCTCTTGAGTGTCATTGAACCTTGTTTTACTCTTGTGCATACCCTCAGCCTGGGAAGATTCCTGTATTATGGGCTTAAGCAAAAAAGTAGCTAATTGAACTCTTGGTGTACGGATCTGATTTGCTCACGTGTGAAGGGTTGGTTTTCAATCCCCATTACAGAACCGAGTCAGGGCTCTATCAGACTGCTGCTCCAGTCCATTTCCAGCATATTTCAGAGTCTGAAACCAGCATCACAACCAAGCCTTCCGAGAAAGTCGTATTTTCCCGGTTCACAGAGTCCAGGTCGACAGTCACTCTTCTTCGTGGGAGAACTTCGTCTAGGATGGTCCGATTCCCTATATCTTCTCTCGTGACGGTGGACAAATCTTTAGGTAAGTCCACATTTGGAACCAGGGAGTCAGCAGTGGATCCTACCTGTTCCACTACTGGTTCGGTGATTGAGCTTCCCAACACCAGCTGAGGCCTGCAACACCAATCAACTGAGAGGATAAAGAAGAGAAAAACACAGGGATGGGTAGGAGGGCCAATCCTGTGCTTTTCTCTTCTTTCTCCTCTTTTTTTTCCTCCTCTCAGCTGATCATCTGAGCCTTTTTTTTACTACAACTTCGGCCGAATTGGTAGCAATTTTTGCTACCGGTTCAGTTGAACCGTGCCAAACCGGTAGCATACCACCACTGCAGGGAGTATATTTTTAAAAATGCATTTGGTGTTTGTTTGTTTTTTTAGGCCAGTTGTATTTCAGGTTTTGCCCAGCTGTGTTCCTGGTCAATTCTCGTGAACATGAGCTAAAACAATCCAGGCAAACTTGAGGAATTGGACTAAAGAATTAAGGGAAATGTTTTTTAAAAAATTTCAGGGGATTAAATACAGATGGAGAGAGTCAGTTTGGTGTCTTGGTTATCAAGCTTGGTCATCAAGCTAGAACTTCTTCAAAGATTCCCAACTGCAGAAAAAGGAGTTACTACCAACCTGCCTTCAATTGAGGACTTGCATACTGCACAAGTCAAAAAGAGGGCTGTGAAAATATCTACAGACCCCTCACATCCCAGACATAAACTGTTTAAACTCCAAAACGACACTATAGAGCACTGCACACCAGAACTACTAGACACAGGGACAGTTTTTCCCCAAACACCATCACTCTGCTAAACAAATAATTCCCTCAACACTGTCAAACTACTTAGTAAGACTGTATTATTATTATTCTCATCCTTCCTATTACCTATCTCTTCCCACTTATGACTATAACTGTGTTGCTTGTATCTTTACGATTTATATTGTTTTCTTTGTTTTTTAGCATGATTTTATTTGTTTCTTAGTATGATTTGATTGCTTATTAGTAACCTAGGATTATCACTAAGTATTGTATCTTATGATTCTTGATGAATGTATTTTTTTCTTAAGAAAACTGAGAGCTTATGCACCAAAGACAAATTCCTTGTGTGTTCAATCACACATGGCCAATAAAGAATTCTATTCTATTCTCTCTCCTCTCTTCTCATTCACTATTCTATTCTATTCTATTCTATTCTATTCTATTCTGTTCTGTTCTGTTCTGTTCTACTCTACTCTACTCTACTCTACTCTACTCTACTCTACTCTACTCTACTCTACTCTATTCTATCATCTAGAACATATGTGGAGGGTTTTTTGTTTTAATTTTAATTTTATTTTATTTTGCCTTCAAGTCAGTGTTTAGTCCTGCTGACCACCAGGACTAATGCAATTCTCTTGGGAAGATTTAGAGAAGTGATTTCCATTGCCTCCTTCCGAGGGCTGAGAGAGAACGACTGGCCCAAGGTCACCCAGGTTGGCTTTGTGCTTAAGACAAGACTAGAACTTACTGTCTCCTGGATTTTAGTGTGCTGCATTCACCACTACACCAAACTGGCTCTCTTTTGGATGTCCTGAAGGTGCTCCCCCCCTTTTTTTCCTTGAAGATGTTTCTCTTCTCCTCCGAGAAGCTTCTTCAGTTCTGCAGAACTGAAGAAGCTTCTTGGAAGAGAAGTGAAACTTCTTCAAGGGAAAAAAAAAACAAAGACAGTCCAGCTGCCTTTTGAAAAAGCACCTTTGGGGAAGAGGTGGTATTCATCAGGTTCTGACCAGTTCTAGAGAACTGGTAGCAGAAATTTTGAATAGTTCGGAGAACTGGCCAATCCCACCTCTGACTGGGCCCGCCAACCCCATCTATTCCCTGCCACCCATTGAGTCCCAGCTAATTGGCTGGGTCTTCTTTGGTTGCCCTGCACAGGAGAACGCAGCTGGAAAGCAGGTTAGTGGGACGGGGAGGAAAGGGGGATTTTGCAGTAAACTTCCCCTGCCATGCCCACCAAGCCACACCACACCCACCAAGCCATGCCCACAGAACCGGTAGGGAAAAAAATGTGAATCCCACCATGGGGACAACCATGACCTGAATGACTGAGTATCTCCATGGACATCTCTCTTCTGGGTGTTGCTTTCTACAAAAATACTTCAACCAATTGTTCTTTGGACAGATCTCCTAATCAATACCCAGACAGATGCAGCCCCCACCCGATTGTTAGTAAAGTATGAATGATGGGAGGGAAAACTAGGACTTCTCTCAGGATATACAGTCATAGGGCCTCCTGTAGGTGGGAAAAGTTTGGGAAAGTCTTTAGTGGCTCCTGGTTGAAAATCCATTATCCAGACGTTCAGGGGAACAGCTATTTCATTGATGCTCTTATGATGACCCACTGAAGGTAATTCTAGCAAGGTAATAAATCAGAAGGGCACTAGGAAAACATTCACTTTACTAGCTGTGCCTCTGTTTCATGGCCATAACTTTTAAAAGATGCTCAGAAAATGCATTGCACTTTAAAGTTGGCAGCAAAGGGAAGAGAAGATTGAGCCATTTCCCCTCACCCCCATAATTATTTCAAAAAAGTTACTTTTCCTTTTATTTTATTTTTAAATAGTTGTTTTAATCCCTGAGCCTTCATTCATTCATTCACTCAATTCATTCACTCATTCATTCATTCATTCATTCACTCACTCATTCACTCACTCACTCACTCACTCATTCACTCATTCATTCATTCACTCACTCACTCACTCATTCATTCATTCATTCATTCACTCATTCATTCACTCACTCACTCACTCACTCACTCATTCACTCATTCATTCATTCACTCACTCATTCA